CTCTGCAGACCCCTCCGGACCTCAGCACTCCTTCCTCTCAGAGCCAGGCTGCTGCCACCTCAGGCCATAGTCCTTGCAGCTGCTTCTGCCAGGCTGGTCCCAGCTCATGCCTAGGATCTTAGATAGCACTGCCGATAAATATCCAAAGAGCCATCCCTGTTACTCTTTACCACACAGCTTCCTGGCTCTTTTTATTTGAGAGTTCACCATTCTATCACTACTTTACCTAGTCCTTGCCTGCTCACTGTCAGACTGTTGATGCAAAAAGGGAGTGAGTAGGTGTCTATCTCATTCCTTGCCATATCTAAAGGGCTGCACCAGCAGCTGGTATGTGGCTGATGTTGACATCTATTAAGCAGATGAACCTTAGGTTAGGAGAATAAGTATCTGTGGGAATGAAGAGTACAGCGAGGGAAATGGAAAATGACCGAGTGAAGATAACCAGTAGAGTCTGAACTTCGGTGCCCCACAAAGTAGTTTGATGGAATCTTATACCCCACGTGACAGTTCTAAGAGATGGGACCTTTAGCATGGGATTGGGTTATAGTGCTTTGCCTGACTGAGTGGCTCGAATGAGGCTGTTCGTGTCTTCTGCCATGCAACTACACCACAGGTTGGTGCCATTTCCGAAGCAGATAACAGTTATCAGATCATCATATCAGCTGGTGGCTTGGTCTTGGAATTCTCAGCCTTCCGAAGTCAAAACAAAAATGTCCTCACTCATAAACCACCTGCTGTTATACAGCCTGGGACATGCAGAATATAGGTGTGGTGTATGTGCACGAGTATGTGGTTTGTGTCTCTGTGTGTCCACGTGGAAGCCAGAGAAGGACACCCAGTGTCCTCCTCTACTCCATGCTACTCCCCTGAGACAAAGCCTCTTGGTGAACTATAAGCTTGCCGTTTCAGTTAGACTGCCCAGCCAATGAGCTCCTGGATCTGCCTGCCTCAACCCTGCAGTGCTGGGGACATAGGCACATGCACATACGCCCAGCTTTTATGTGGGTGCTGGGTACTCATGCTCGCACAGCAAGCTCTCTAACCCCATCCCCAGGAAACAAAGATCTGAGCACTACTCAAAACCACCACTGTTAAGGACAATCACAATAATCAGAGCTAAACAATGAGCAGACAATTAAATTCGTACTGGCTGCCTGAATATTTATTGGCTAAGGGGTATGCTTTTTACTGTGTACAAATCGCATTTTTTTTTTTCTTGAATGTCCTACACAGAGCAGAGCACTGAGGAGGTCTCTAGACTATTCTTGGGAACAGGCGGCTATTTTTCCCTCCCTCTTGCCCAGTCTTCACACTTAAAGGGCACTTGTGTGGTGGTTATTACTGCCACTCTACAAGAAGCTCTCAACACTCTCTGCACCTGAAAATCCTTTAAAAAGTGTAAAAGATTAATAATCCTTTCAAAACCCCCAAGCCCAGGCCCATATCCCAGACCCATTAGATAAGAGCTGGGGGGGCGGGGAGACCCAGACACCATCAATATTTTTAAGCCTCTCGAATGACTCCAATGATTACCCGAGTCACAGAATCCCATGCTGACTTTAAAGACAGAAAGAGCTGGACCTACAAAAAAGACCAGCCTCTCTCTCATACCAGTGGGAGTGGCATAACCCTGAATATTATTTTCCGAATTTTTGCATAAATCACTAAATGTCTTTATTATATTTTTAGTGTTGTTCTAACTCTTATTAAAATGTACTACAAAGGTCACTTTGTCTAAAAATATAAAAACTGAAAAGAAAATAAAGCATGCACACTTACTAAATTCTAAAACCTGGAAAAATCTACCCCCCCATACTTAGAAATGACCAGGTCTGCTGTTAGAACTTCTAGCAACAAACAGAAACACTGAACATCTTGTAAGGTTAAAAAAAAAAAAAAAGCCAATAATATGTAGTTGGCTAAGTAGACAATGAACAAATAAAGAAATAACAAAGCTGAAAATGATAACTTAAAAATAACTTTGACAGCCAGGACTACACAGAGAAACCCTATCTTGGAAAAAAAAAATCACTTTGAATATGACTGGAAATAGCTCAGTCTAAGATTACTTCTAGAAAAAGAAAAAAAACACAACCTAATTCTGTCCCCACTGTTAGTCACACAAACTTGCACATGCACATGGACCTACATCCATCCAGAACAAACTTTTTTTTTTTTTTTTTTGAGACACAGTCTCACTATGTAGACCATGATAACTTTGAACTCATTAAGATCCTCCTGCTTCTGCCTCCCAAGTGCTGGGACTAAAAGTATTTACCACCATGCCCAGCTAAGAAACAGACTTTTTCTTTTCCTTTTCTTTTCTTTGCTTTGCTTTTTAGAGACAAGGTTTCTCTGTGTGGCTTTGTAGACCAGGCCTCAAATTCACAGAGATCCACCTGCCTCTGCCCTTTGCCCCCTGCTCCCTGCCCCCGCCTCCTGGGTGCTGGGATTAAAGGTATGCACCACCATCACCTGGCAGAAACAGACTTTTTAAAAAAAATTTTTTTTAATTTTATTTTCTATGTTTAAGTATTTTATCTGCATGTATGATATATGTAATTTATGTACATGCACCATGCCCATGTCTGGTGCCTGTGGAGGCCAGCAGAGAGCAATGAGCCCCAGGAACTGGAGTACAGGCAGTTTATGAGCTGCATCAGGGTGCTGGGAAGCAAACCTGGGTCCTCTGCAAGAGCAGCCTCTGCTCTTCATTGCTGAGAAGGCTCTCCAGCTCCATGACACAGACTTAACCCTTTACAGCTCACATAAATAACCTACTCATGCCAACAAGGAAGTTATGTTTATCAAACAATTCTATCAAGTAGCACTGGTATAGGAAAATGAAGGTTATTATATCATCAATGTTTTTAAAACTCCACATTCTTGGAGCAGGCGAGGTGACTCATAGAGAGGGGGCTTGCTGCCAAACCTGTAACCCCAGTTCAACCTCCAGAACCCACATGGTAAAAGGAGAGAAACAACTATAAAACGCACCCCTGAAAATGCTTCAGAAAGTTACCTTTTTAAAAGGGTTACAAGTAAAATACACAAACAGAAAGAGTCAGGTTAAAGAGTACATTCCAGGGTAATTTTACTACACGCATAGCTATTTTGAGCAAGGTTGCTGTCGACATTTAACATCAAATATCATGAAAAGGGCTTCTCTCTACCTTTACTGACTGCAACGAGAGCCAAACCAATTTTCCTAGTCTGCCTTAGTGATCCTTGGTGCAATCACAAAACCCAGATGCTTCATTAGCAGGTAATGCCCGGAGAGCAAACGCCTTTCTCAACCTGATGCCACACCTAACTTCTCAAAACAAATTTCCAAAGTAGCTGTTGTAGCACTGCCTCTAATCCCAGCAGGGGGGGGGGGTGTAGAGAGAGGAGGGTCAGAAGTGTAAGGTCAGCCTAGGCTACACAGCAAGTTTGAGGCCAGCCTGGGCTATTTGAGACTATCTCGAAAATGAAACAAAACAATAAAAACATTTTTCCCCTTCCAGCATATGTTAAGTTCCAATCTGGCCAGTAACAGTCACACAGTATAATAACATTATCTGTGTCTTGGCCTCCAATGAAATGTTTTCACCCTTCATTTTTATCACTATGGCTGAGAAGCTTCGGAAATCAAATGGATGACACGAACTAATTGGTTATAGTATGAAACAAAGTTCATTTGTGGAGAGGAACCATTCTGATTTGGACAGAGAAATGATAAGTTATAAAATATCTTAAAATAAACATAAGTTATTAAAATAAATAGTATTCATTAGATCCTAATCTTATGATTTATTTTCTAATTACATGAAAAATTTATATAACTAGGGATGTTATTTTATAAGGATGTATTTTATAAGGTTTGCTATGGTATTTACAAATTTGCTTTTGATGTTTGGCTTTGGGGCTGGAGAGAAGGCTCAGTAGTTAAGAGGAATGACTGCTCTTCCAGGGAACCCAGGATTGATTCCCAGAACCCACATGGTGACTCACAACTGTACAGAACTCCAGTTCCAAGGGATCCAACACCCTTTTCTGGCCTCCTCCAGTACCAGGCACACATATGGTGCCCAGACTTAGGCATAACACCCATACATAAAAAAAAAAAAATAAAACTTTAAAAATTAAAATAAAAGCCTTACATTTTTGTCATTTCCATTTTTCATCTGTTGTGGGAAGGAGCAAGCAAATGGCATGGAGGTATGTAGAGATGAGAGGGAGCCTGGGGAGTCAGTTCTGTGGCCAACTTCACAGGCAAGCATGTCACACAGTAGCTGGTCTTTATCCAGAACAACTGACTTCTCAAAACAAATTTGAGTGGCCCAGGACCGAACTCGGGTTCAGACCTGGTGTCGAACATCAAACCACTGAGCAATCTCACTAACCCAATAATTGGCCCTTTTAAAAATCAAAAAGCTAGGCCAGGCCGGTGACACACATCTATAATCCCAGCACTAGAAAAGCTAAAGCTAGGTGAGGTCAGCCTTCGATACAAATAACCAGTTCTAGGCCCATAGGGCTACAGTGTGAAGACCCAAGATCAAATAAATAAGGTCAAAGGCCCTCACCTGCCCTGAATGTCTGAATCAAGAAAGTTCTAACTTTCTTAATTGGGTTTTACTGTGTACAAAAACATATGGTAGAAACTGCCATAAGCCATCATCAACCGGGTGCAATTCACTCCTGATAGCAGCAGAAGTCTGTCTGCCAGAATGTGGGGAACTGAGTTCCTCCACGATTCATGCTGCCTGGATAAGGTCAATTCCTTGTCAGTATAATCTGATTAAAAAAAAACAAAAACAAAAACAAAAAAAGCCACTTTTGGCTAGCTGACAGGAGATCAGAGAACAAGTCAAGGCTCCCAAATGTGTAATCTTAAGCAGTACATTAACCTTGTGGGACTTCGACTTCTGTCTCTAGAACCTGGGCTAAAGGGCCCACAAGCCCTGAATGGGGAGGGCTGTGGAGGGGAGTGTACGGCTGCAGGGCGAGCCACTTACGAGATGTAGGCTGGGTATCCGAAGCCTATCAGGTTGCAGAGAAGAGAGGCTCCATAACCGAACACCAGATACAAGGCCACCAGTCCGATGACACCTGGAGACCGGAGGAGAGAAACGGGTTGGGTGACCAGGCAGACATTCTAAAGAGACAGTCCCCGCCCACACCCACACTTGGAGGTTAGGCCTTCCCGAGGCGGCGTTCTCTCCTGCCTCGATTACCGGAGACAAACCGACCACAAGGAGGTCACTGGGGAGTCCTCTGCCTCTCCTCCCTGGGCAGCGCCCTCCTGGGCTGGGTATGCTGACCAGTCAATCCCCTGCCTCCACTCTTTGGGCAGGGCCCGCCTGGGCTGAGCATACTGAGCAATCCCCAGCCTCAACACCCCCGGGAGGGCCTGCCAGGACTAGTCAGTCATACAGGGCAGTCCCCTGCCTCTCCTCCTTCCCAGCTGGCCCGCGCGGTGCAGCGGCCGGGAAGCCCCGCTCGACCCGAAGGGTCCGGGGGTGAGGGCGGGCTCCTCCACCCCGCGGGACACCGCGCCCAAGACTGTGGCTCCTGGGCACTCGCGGTCGACAGAGGCGACACGTCAGCGCCCGCGCGTCCCGCAGCCCGAGGCTCCCAGGCCCCGCTGCACGCGCGAGGGGCCGCCCGCCCGCCCTCCGTCCGTCCGCGCCCCGCGCCGCGCCGCGGGACCCGCTGCCCACCGAGCGCGATGAAGCTCCGGTTCACTCCGGTCTTGGCCTCGAGCTTGGCCAGGAGGTCGGTCATGCAGTTCTTCTCGTGCAGGAACCGGTCGAACCTCTCCCTCATGGCTGCGGACATGGTTGGGCCGTTCACGCCGCCCGGGATGCTCGGAGCAGGCTGGACGCGGAACCCAGCTGACCGGGGCGGGGCGGGGCGGGGCGGGGCGGGGGCGGCGGCACCACGGCGCGTGCACGAGGTTCCCGGGAGCGCGCCCCGCGCTCGCCCCCGCCCTTCTGGCGCGGTGCCCGCCCCGCCCCCGCCCTGCTCTCTCCGCTGCTGCCACGCCCGACCGGGCCTCCGCCTCGGCTGCCAGGCGCTCCCCACCCCTGTAAACAGAGGGAGGCTCCTGGTGCCCGCCTGACTTTTTAAAATCCAACCGGTGCAAAAAGACAGAAAGGGTGGGTGACCTTGTTGTCTGCAACGGAGTAAGACTAGTGTGATGGACACACTCCTGAGTTAAACCTATGAAGGCATTTTGAACCTAAAAATGGAAACGTGCGGCGGTCCTGAATGAAGTCTGCGTGCAGACCGGCTTCCCTTCTGTGCCTGGACTCCGCACAGTTTTGGAAATTCCCCTGGAGAAAGCTCACATGCCCTCCTCTGGGGCACACTGTTTTCAAGCGCTGCCGCTAAGCCGCCGGGTGGGCTAGTGTTTGTTGCCTGGAGGTCTAAGAGAAGGGAAATGCTTCCTGGCCCCACCATGGAGGTGGCAATCTTCAGTTCCCTAACATACAAGTTATCCTGAAGAAGAGGTGGGCCGGCAGTGTAAGCCTCAAGATCTCGCTCCAGTTCCTCCAGCGTGGGATAGCATCTCAAACCCTTCCTCCACCTAACTAGGCTCTAGTGGTCTTTCACCTATATTCCTTCAGAACACTCCTGAAGTAGCCCTTTCTCCCATCCCTGCCAAATTTTCCTCATTGCATAAGACTCAAGGGCCTTTAGTGTCTACGTAGGATCCCATTTCTCAGTAGAGAACGCGAGGTCCGGTCTCCCTTTATCCTACACCTCCACTTCCAGACTGGTTTAGTTCCCATGTTGTCTTCCATGGGGTAGACAGATCTCTTGTTTGCTCCATTTTCCTTATCTGCAATTTTCTTCTCCAATTTTTCCCTGAGGGTCTTAAATCAACTCTCTCAGCTGCCCCCACCAATATCCAGTTAATCATGGATGAAATTGAACCATAATGTTAATAGTATCATTATAACAGCATCCACACCCAGCTGTCATTAGCCTACAATTAATTCTCAGCGTTACACTCAGAGGAAAAACATAGGTCAAGCCAGACATGATTTTGCATAACTGTAACCCCAGCTCTTAGAAGATGAGGCAGGAGGATCAAGAGTTCAAAGATAACCTCAGCTACCTAGGGAGTTTGGGGCCAGCCTGAGCTACTCGAGACCCTTTTGAAAGGCAAGCAGGTAGCACTAGAGAAATGGCCTGGTCGTTCAGACTACCCACTGCTCTTGCAGAAGATGAAGTTCAGTTCCCAGCACCCAGCTTATACCTCTTGTCCCAAGGGATCCAGGCCTTCTGGACTCTGTACGCCTGCACTCACATGCACACAGAGACACAAATGATCAAAAACACAGCTAAAAACAAAGAAATCTCACTGTTTCCAGAATAAAAATTTGAAAACAACAGTGAGTCATCTGGTGATGATACCTCCCCCCCACCCATCCCACCACCCCACCCCACCCCCGCGTGCGTGTGTGGGCACGCACACACATACACACACACACACATACACACACACACAGTGATTTTCTGTTTTCTAAAGAATGGCCTCATACTAGGCAAATGGCTCATAAGTCAAGTACTTGCTAGGTGAGCATGACGTAAAAAGCCATGTGTACAGCATGTGTATCCCACCACTGATGAGGTAGCTTGATGGAGCTTGCTGGCTAGCCAGCCCAACTGAGTTGGTGAGCTCCAGGTTCAGTGAGAGACTCTCGCTTTCGAAATAAGACAGAAAGGAACTGAGGAAGACGGGATACCAAGAGAAACAGACACTGACCCCTGTCCTCCATACACCCTTTGTACACGCATGCCTGCTGTGTGAAATGCAGTGTGTAACGTAGGCTCATGTATGTGAACTCTTGGGCCCTATTTTGGGCTAAAATTTTTGCCTTTAGATAATTGTAGTCAGACTGGAGAAGCATGAGTCCCTTAGTTCATGCAGCATCCACAAACGTTTTGTAGATGAGAAAAGACGTGACACGTCGAGCCCTGTCTTAGGTGTTAATCTAGTCACATAGTCCAATTACCCTCTATGCTATGTCTGGAGCCAGACGCTCTTAGGCCTCGGAACAACCGACCACATTGCATTGCTGTCTAAAAAGTCAGGGGAAAGGCTTGACCTGGGGAAGGAGCAGGTAGACTTTGGCAGGTTCTAGGAAGGAAGTCAACTTGACCCGGGAGGTTGTTACACCTTCCATGAAGTGGAGAGGTTTCTCCTGGGGAACTGTGACAGGGTTGAATTTTGCAGGGTAAGAGGATCTGACGTCACTTTGTTCTGTGTCAGGAGAAGGTGGAGCACAATTTGCTGGATAATCTTCACTAAGCACCCACTCGAGTATAGGTCCTTTATTGTCACCTGACATCCACGAGACAACCAGCTTTTGCAGGAGACCCTCTGGTGCTGGAAGCCGCCTCCTCCCTCTGCTGGGGGAGACCTACAGGAAAACAGACAGGCTGAACGCAATGCAGGAAGCAGTATCACGCAGTAGGTCATCACAAGCACACACAAAAAGATACGGAAGTGAGAGGGTTTGGGAAAAGAAGGGGTTTGGTGGGGGAAGACATGAGATGATCATGGGAGAGACTTTGGTCAGAGATTATCCCTTATATGTATGAAATTATAAAAGAATAAATAAAAAATTAAAAACAGTATTTAAAGAAATAAAATGTACGTGGTGACACTTTCAAACCTAGCACTTGGAAGGTAGAGGCAGGAAGATCAGAAGGTTAAGGGCATTCTCCTTGGCAACATGAGTTTGAGGCTAGCCTGGGCTATGTGAGGCTATCTCAAAAAAGACAAGACAGAGCTAGCAAGATGGCTCAGGTGGTAAAGACCTTGCCACAAGGCCTGACAACAAGAATTGGATCCCTGCAACCCTCACACGAGACAACCAAGTCCGCAAAGTTGCCCTTTGACCTCCACACATGTGTACAGCCTGTACGCCCCCCTCAATCATACACATACCAATAAGTAAAAAAATTTTTTAAAAATTAAGAGTAAAAATTACCATGATTCATTGAATAAATTTGAATAAAATTGTTTTTCATCTTATTTTATACATTTTCTATTGAAAATTGCTTTTTATTATATCTTTCCATTTATTGAATAGGAAGTAAAGGTTTAGAAAGTCGAGAACAAACCAACAAGAGACTATCCTGTAGTTCGGCTAAAATATTTTTATTCTGATTGAACTGCCGTATGTCGTGGCTACTGCTTGCAAATCTGTAGATTCTTTCACCATCATAAACACCTTTATTTCATCCTTTGGCTTCTTAGTTGTATCTGCACAGGGACATCCAGCAAAAAACAATTCATTGGCAGGTTGTTGCTCTGTGATCATGACTAGTCAGGCTAGTTTTGACAAACCCTGCATTTAGATTTCATACTTGAGTGCAACTTATTCACTGGCCCTGGGCTATAGGTCCCACCCCAGAGAACAGTCAGGATTTGCCTAACAGTGTACACAGTGGCATGCAATTTTGACTGCCTCCCTCCATACCCCCAGGGAGTGTGGTCTATGTTACTGTGTATATGTGGTGCAATGCCTGTGCTGAGGCCAGAGATGAGTCTCAAGGGTCTTACTTGGTCCCTGTCACTCACCTCTTAGTCCTTTGCGGCAGAGTCTCACACTTACGTGGAGTGAGGCCAGCAAATCTGGGGAATTTCCCTGTCAGCCACTGGGGTCTCTTTTCACTGGAGAAAGAACCAGAAGTTAATTTTGTGCGCTTCTCTTCATGCCTAGGAAAGTTAGTTAACACGAACCAAGAAACTGCTGGTGAACAATGTCATTTTCTCTTGCTCCTCATAAATGTGGTGACTTAATACAGCAGAAATATATTACCTTCCAGCTTGTGTCAGAAGTCTGACCCGAGTCTTACTGAACTAAAATCAAGGTCTCGTTTTCAGGGCTTGGTTCCCTCCTGGAGACTCAGGGAAAACCTGTTTCTTTACTCCTTTGGGTGGTTGGTGGAATTCAGTTCCTGGGGTTCTAACCCTGAAATGCCCACTTCCTTCCTCTTTTTCAAGGCTTGCAGCAGTGGGATAAATTTCTCTCATACTTCAAGTCTCTCTTCCCCTTTCTTCTGTCTAGTTTCTGTGGCTCAACTATTCTCTACTTAACACTTTTTTAAAAGGTTTGTTTTTGTTTTATATGTGCATGAGTGTTTGGTCTGCATGTATATATGTGTGCACTGAATGTGAACTGTGTCTGGTACCTGCAGGAGACCCTGGGACTGGAGTTAACAGATGGTTGTTAGCCACGGAGTGGGTGCTGGCAACAGAACCTGGGTCCTGGTAGAGGCCCACAGAAGCGGCTCTATTCTATCTTGACATAAGGTCAGAGAGTTCAAGCCTATTATGGGGTCCCTGACAGGTCCTCTGCAAGAGCAGTAAGTATTCTCAGCTGCCAGGCCATCTCTCCAATACCAGCTTTTCTCTTCTTAGGTTGATTTTTCTCTAGCATTTGTTGCACTAACAGAAAGCTAACAGGATGTATAAGGAAATGCATGCATAGGTTCTCACTATTAGGACATTAACCTAACATCCTAATAGTGAGAAGTTCACTGTTCTGCCTTCACTATGGCCTTACAAGAGGCACCATAGGTGGCCTCCAGCTCTCTAGAAAGAATAGACATGTTGAGATCTGACTGCTGGTAAAGGCCTTGTATTCATATCAAGAGCCAGCCCAGGACATGCACAAGCCTATCAGGGATGCAGACCCTGGACTGACATGGTCTGTTATTCGCCACCTGAGTGCTCTTGGGAAAAGTCAATGACCTCCAAGAGCCCGGCTTCTCTCAGCATATAAAGTGAGGATAATGTTATCATCTACTTCACAGGTTTTTGGAATAAGCAAGACACTCCAAAAAAAAAAAAAAAAAAAAAAAAAAAAGAAATCAATTTTAAATGATCTGGCTCTGGT